TTCCCGTCGCCGGGTGTTTAAAATGCAAAGCACCCTTACGAAAGGCCAAGAAAGGGAACTAGAGGCTTAAAGAGCCTTGTATTCTGTACACTACATAAATTCTCCTGAAGCATACAAATCTACACTAAACCATTTAGCTGTTTATTCATCGATATCAATTTGGCGTTAAATGCCCGGCCACTTGGAGAAGGTTTGAATGTACAGAATCATAAAATTCCGACCATGCAATTGAATTAGTCTTAGCACCAACTTACCTCTTTTTAATGTTTAATCAAAATATTATGTTTAATCTACAAACCCGTTTTTACTTTTAGTCACATTACGTAATGAATGCCTATTAAATAGTCATCTTCGGGCGACAACCTTCCATACCTTGGCTATTGAATAATATAGATACGAACACAGAATAATTGCCTTCTACTATTGAGTCAACACTCCACTCCTTCAAAATCCTGAATTTGAAACACTTCATTCTGAACAACTAACCCAGATTTATTATTAGTTGACGCAGAACAATCAACGATCCACCAGACAATAATTAATAGAAAGCGAATACTCACCACCAGCTCAGATGTGGGCTCCTGGGCCTCCGAAATTGGCTGGCCCAGAATCCCATTCAAACGGAGATCCTCCATGCTGCGCTGGCTTCGCGTCGTGGGGTCACTAGCCAACTTTACTGAAAATGGAAAAAGTGATCACAATTCGGGAGTTCTTTTCTCCTAGGATCCAATCTAAGTGTGAAAACCTGCATTCTCACAGCGTTTTTAAAAAACTGGTCGTTAGGATTGCTATTTAGTACAATCGTCTTCTGTGACTAGGTCTCCATGATGCTATTTAAAAATTTATTTCTAGTCTAAAATATCTTATAATGTGACACATGACTATCATCTTTGGGCTTTATAATGGATAGCTACAAATTACCTGACATTTCAAATTAGTTAAATATTTGCCAACTGAAGAAGATAATGCAAGATAGCCATCTGTTATAGGAGGATGAACCAGTGAAGACTTCAAACTAAAAGACCACAAAATCTGAACAAATTCTCAACAACCACATCGACCTCAAATTCCGCATTATGATAAGCACTTCAGCACGATCTGATGTGAATAAAACGAAAAAACCCATGCATTTAATGGGATCAAACCCTAGCAATAAAGCCCCATGGGGCTGCCTTATTTTGGGCATTTCATTGTACGGTTTTACCTTTAGGTCATACTTTCACTAACCGATCGGCATTTAAAGTGACACTTTTAAACCAATCGTTTCAAATCAATCCTTATAAAAATGTAAAGTATGAACCCATTGAGATCTTTAAGACGCACAACTACCTTCAAATTGAAAAGGCTTCCCTACGTGATAGAAGATTATTATATGACTTTTGTTGCTGTTCCACGATTGATTCTAATTCACTCCGATAGGGGCGAGTGACTACGCGAGGCGATGTGGGTGGTGCTTAAAACAAAACGACACTTTTGCTGCCATTCGGTCAGCCCCACAGATTATACAGCATAAATTGACTTTCAGACTGGCATCCCACATAGCGTCTTCAGTCGTGACGCGCTTCCTAATAGGAGAGTGACAAAACTGTCAGTCACCTACGCGTCAGGGACGCCATGCAACGAAAACACAACAAACCCGAGCTAAATTTAAATGTAAAAAAGTGGCAACAAAATATACTATTAAGGTTTCGCTATTAATTTGCACTATGAAGGCTTAAGAGAACACTAAAATCGGGTAATTTGCCTTTACGTATAACTTCATGTCAGAGTTTCGAGCAATTTCTATAAGAAATTTTGGGTACCAGAAAAGTAAATCGTCTGCACCATTTGCTTAATGAATAATCTACAGTGAAAAATGAAAATACAATGCTGTTTAAATGAGTTAGATCTCAACCTATTAATAGAGTGAGAACTTACCACATCTCATTTGCCGAAGTCTTGACAACGAGGTGTATTTTCTGTTTGGAATGGACTCAAAGTATGGAGCTAGCTTTATGAAGGCCGGTGGGTCAGCAGTACTGGTCGAGCCCCGTTCTGATGCCTGGAGTATTTGCAAATAATATCCAACACCACCGGAAAAATAACGATTATTTAGTGCTTTAAGTGGGGAGCCACTGTTCTGACCCCAATAGCACAGACTTACTTCAGGACCATTCGAAAACTCGCCACATGACTGTTCTTCCTCTGTCAGAGTGCTCCCAGCCACGGACGAGGTGGAGGTGGCATCATTGATGTTGAATTCATTGAAGGATTTGGTAGGCCCAAGCCGAGACGCCATAGAGGAAAATGTGGAACTCTTGGAGATGTGTTTTTGCCGATGATGATGGTGTAGATGATCCAGGCCTGGTGTAGAGGCTCCCAGTGGCACGCACCACGTCTTCGTCTTTTGCAGACCACTACACAACGGTCAGCATGGTTAGTTCGTCGACAGATTACGTCCTGGTTGCCTTCATTAATTGCTGCAGTGGTAGCTTTCACACGAAGGTGCCCGAGTTCGAATTTAAGAAAGATATACTCAATGAGTATGCCCTCCAATAATCATATACATAAAGCTGTCATGTTTCAACTAAATGCCATTATCTATGGTGCATAGTAAAGCGGTTACTGCAAACGTATTGTAGCGAAACTAGCTTTTTCCTTTATGACAATAAGAGTAATGTAGCCAAAAAAACCGTCACTTTTCCCCATAACTACCGCACTGTCACAACACCAACACGCATGATCTAAAAGGTCAAACAATTTAATCCTCTTGTTGACTAAAATTAACCAAGTTTCGATTTAATCAGTGGATCATTACCGAGCGCAGTTATTTAGTGTCGCATTTAATGGGTGGCACGACACCACCTCAAGATCATCAAGTTTGACCAAGGAGACAGATGAGATATAGGAAATTTAGAAAAATCTTTATTTTTAATTTCTATTTATTTATATTTCAAAGTACCTAGCTGCCCATTTAGGTGATAACAGATGCAATGCTTACGATCAAAGGTAAACCGCAACATTGGCTTCACACACACCAAACCTTGTCTTTAAGTTTTTAAAGCGATTTACACTGTAGAAATTACAAAATAAAATTGTTAAAAAGCAAATTATGATACTACAAAAGGCATAAAAACACCTAAGGACAGAAAAGGCGGGGAAAGTGAAGACAGTCTCTATCGTTATGGAGCAGAGTACCACAAAGATCGACTATTTTTTCAGGTTGAGGGATGCACATGAAATCCCCTCTTTGAATGCCGAGTTGGTTTCAGAACCTTGAAAAAATTACCAATTCCCAAGAATTCTACAGCCATAGTCATCTTGAAGGACTCAAAAGATGCACAGTAGTTGCAGAAAGACAAGAATGCTGATCTATCGACGGGAG